CGAAGCAGTTCCAAGTATACCGGGTTGTTCGGCTGCTCTGGTAGATCGGGTGGCGGTTTGAGAGTGCCTGCCCTTTTATATTCCAGCAGACTCGCGCTTGACAGCTCGGCAACTGACAGGCGCGGCTGATTGGCTAAGACGTGCCTGGCTGCTGCCGAGCTGTCATTCGTAACAGCGAGGACTACCTTTTACTATACAACACATATCTCTTCACATTGTCTCAATGCTTTTTAGTGGATCCAATTATGCTTGGACCACTGTTGAATGACATACAAGTTTAATAAATTATTATAACTATAGGTCAGGCAGAACCTGGAGTGGTCTGTTGTAATGAATTTCATTTCAGATATGTCAGTTTCTTAACTTATCTATGAACTGCTGTGAACTGAATAATGATTGCACATACTTGTTTAAACAGGCATTTAAAAATATAGTTCTGAGGCTGAGTGTAACTTTAACATATGAATATAAAATGAAGTTGTAATATTGATCCCAAATTACATAAACATTAATATTTGTATAAAGTTTGTAAACAAGACACAACTTTATAATCATGTCGTCTTGAAAATGCAATGACTTCTATGCAGGACACAAGTGTGTAATTATATCAGTCATGTGATCATGTCATCACATGTGTAATCATTTTGACATCATTATGATTTCTTACAAATGACACTAATAGGAATCCAGAATTTACTGGAATGTGAAAAAATAAAATTCTCTATATCTGGTTAAATTAGAATTCTGACTGTCTTAACACTTTCTTTTTCTATAATTTCCTATATTTAGCACTGGATGTATCTTGGGGGTAGGACTTGTTCTGTCACTGATGAGTCACAGCAACTTGACAGATTCTGAAGCTCACATCTCTACCTCTCTGCGTAAACTTTGCAAGTACTTGGATGATGCAGAAGACCAAAGCCGAACATTACAGGAAGTAAGAGAATGCTGTTTACTTTCCCAATGCTTGCTTTTCATCTGCTGTTTCTCCAGCATGTTTGTCTTTCCCAGATTGTGTGTGCATAAAACATACTTTTAAATAATGAATTCATTCTAATCATTTCTTACTTTTTCTATTTTCTAGATCCTTGCCTACACAATTGCCTGTGTCTGTGTTTCTGCTTTCAGTACTAGGATTGTTGAGGCTACAGAGGCTGAAGATGTTATGGACAAGCTGCAGAAATTAACAGAAATGAATCAGCAGGTCATATAAAGCTTGTAGATCGATTTTATGCTTTCAAAATATTTCTGTAATGTTTTATGCCATCCTAATATTTGCTGCAATAACATGAATGATCTGAAAAGCTAATCAAACTGCTTCTTCAAATGGAGGCAGAAAGAAACCTGTATGTCTGTGGATAGTTGTGGTGATAGTTGTCCCAAAGGTGCTTTTCCAAAAAAGAATTCGACTTTGTTTTTTCTCCCTTGAAACCGTTTCAATTCTCATCCAAGAAACTTCTTCAGTTCTCAGACTGAGATAGGATTTAAACTTGAATGAAGTTGAAGCAGGAAAAGGGAGGGAAAGATAGTTACAATATTCAGATTCAGGGTTACAGATGTGGCATATTTCAAGTACCTTATCTGTTAACAATTGTAATGTGTAAATAACCTACTGTTAAAGTTCTGCTTTTCCAAAATAGTCACTTGGAGGTTTGTCAGGAAATTTGTTGGGAGATTGAAATGCTTTGATATTACTTTATCCTTGTTTTGAATCCTGAAATAAAATTTGTGACCTATGAGGATCTAACAAGAACATACATAAGATTAGAAGCATTTCATATACGCAGTGGTTAGAGTGCAGTACTACAGGCTACTTCAGCTGACTGCTAGCTGCAGTTCAGCAGTTCAAATCTCACCAGGCTCAAGGTTGACTCAGCCTTCCATCCTTCCGAGGTGGGTAAAATGAGGACCCAGATTATTGGGGGCAAGAGGCTGACTCTATAAACCACTTAGAGAGGGCTGTAAAAGCGCTATGAAGCGGTATATAAGTCTAAGAGCTATTGCTATTGCTTTGCTTCCCTTGTGATGTATGCGATCATCTGCCAACAATACCTATCTGAAATTTTTATGTGTAGGTCATGAGTTATTGACTTCTGGTGACTTCCTGGACAAGTACCTGCAGTTTTCTTTGCAAGGATTTTTGGAAGTGGTTTGCTGTTGTGTTCTTCCTAGACTTGTGAGAGAGTAACTGGGGTTGTACTTATGGCAGGACCAGAACTTCTGGTTTCTTGGTTTCTAGTGTGGTGCTTCAGCCTCTTCCTTCTGGATTCTATCTAGGACAAATGGGAGAAAAAGTCTTTGTGCAAAGGACTTAATGGATACAAAACTGACATATATTAATACATTACAATTGCTAATTAATAAGATACTTGTGATTTGTTTTATAAGTAAATTGCATCTGTATAATCACTTTTACTTTTCTCTTTCTCCTGCCTTTGCCCAATTTAAATCCTTCACTTGCAATCAATGAAGTGAGTTGCAGTTCAAAAAAGCATAATAAAAAATTTAAATAAAAATTCTTATTCACTCTTAATTTTTTTTGCCACTGTCAATTAACATGGTTTCTTCTTACAATGTCCAAATAATTGAAAAATTTAAGAGTATAATCCCAACACATTTGCAGGGTACCAGTTGAAAAAGGCTGTTCCATGAAACATGGTCATCTTATTCAGTACTTTGATGTCATTATGTCAACTGTTTCCCTGCTAAGAGTCTACCCTTCTAATTTTTAATGCAATTATATAAAGAACACTAGTAAACCGAAATGGGTCACTTCAAAGTGGATGGTGTTTACAATATAATGAAGACATTCATGGCTTTGCAATCTTTTAATCTGGTATATTTTTGTTTGTGAATGCTAAGATTTTTTTTCACTTTTAATTACACTTGATCTTAAGCAGTATTTTATCTGGTTTGGAAGAAGGGCTGCTCTGTGTCCAATACTATACAGTCCAAGTTCATTTTCCATGCTTGACTGCAACAGCATAAAAGCATTTTGATTTTGTTTGTTTTAAAGAACTCACAACAGTACTACAGTATGTTTCTTAAATTAAGGATTTCTCTGCCCCCCCCCCACTTTCCTCACTCTTTTTCTCTCACTTTTGAAACAATGCAAAACAAACGGCTTTCCTGATGTGCTGCCTGCTTTATATCTTGTTCTGCTCCAGACACCAGGTTTTGCCTTAGCCTTGGGGAGCCTTGTTCATGGATTATCTATATGCGGACATGGAAAAGCAGACGTTCTCAGCAATAAGCTATTTCCTGCCTGGATGAAAACTGTACTTGCTGAGGTAAAGCACTTGGAACTGTATGAGTTGACTGACAGCTTGAACCATTCCTGGGGATGCAATGTGCCAGTCTGCTTCTTCTTTTTAAAAAAAAAAAAAAACCTATGGAATAAAGCAGTTTGTTTCTGCTAGCTGTGGTTAATGGGACGTCTTGAGGCTTAGAATGGGCTGATTCTATCCATCCCACCCCCCTTTGAGACCGGTCTATCAGGGCAACCGGGTCTTCCCAACTATGGGACGGAGCATACTGCTTCCACTTTTGCCTTTCAGCCCCAATCCAGGAGCCTTCGCAGGCAGATGCTTTCGTGACAAACTATTTTTGTGTTCAATTCCATTCTTTTGTTTCTATCTCCTCCACCCATCTGAAGTACATCTGAAGTTCCAGGATTCATGCAGTGGAGCTGAATGAGCTTCTGTTTGATATAAGTTTGACATGGGGCCAAAGTTATATCAGCAGATGCATTTCCTGGTTCCTACACTGCTTTTAACTGAAAACCAGTGGCATGGTAAAAGTTAAGTGAAGCTACTTAACACTTCCCTGTCCATCTGTTCTCCCCAACCCATTGCTTTACCGCAGTATTGTTTTTTAACAGATAGAAAAGCAACCACAAAGATTTCGAGGGTTAAAGTGGTTGAAGGTGAAAATTTCTAAGCAGTCATTTTTCTCTTCCCTTTTGTGCTATTCATCTCTTCCTGACCACAGAGTCCCATAGCTGCACATCATTTCTGAAATGATTGAAAGGCTGAATAAGTTATGAATTGTATCCTGAGATGATGAGTAGAAAGCTATCCATTTCACAATGCTGATGATAGCATATTTGGTATCAGGATGTCTGTCATTGGATCAGTGGGTGGAAGAATTTGGGGAGGGGGGAATCTTTTCTTGCAAGAAAGCAGTTCAAGAACATTCGCTTTTTCTCTTACAAACTTTGGTTTTGCTTTGATTCTAGGGAGCTCCTACAATGCAAAGACTAGCAGCGGTCAATGGCTTGGTCTCTCTAGTGGGTTCTGAAAGTACCATGATACAGGTAAAATAAGGGCATGATAATTTCCATCTTGAATTTACATAGTTTTCAAATTTAAGAATAGGGAGGCAACTTTATAGAATAGATGTAGGAGAAGCAGAATCGAAAAAGAACTCAGCCTAAACTTGTTACATGTCCACAGATGCCCCAAGTCCGGGCCCTCTTGAATTCTGTTGATTCTTATCTAGCACCAATTTAGTGCTGACCAATTAATGGGCTAGATTCTTGTGTTTAGGCTTGAGCAATAAATCTTTTTATTTGGAATTTACCATATGGTATTGATTTTTCACGGCTTACATTATATTTTCTGGTGAATTGAACAAGCCCCATAGCGTTGCAAAAGGGCTGAGATAAAGTGACTTTGTGGCATAAAGCTGGCTTTCATGACTAAGGTGGGACTAGACTCTCCTGCTTTCTGTCCTGGTGCTTTAACCACTAGACCGTACCCAACATTGCTTTGGCAGCATGCGTTAGATGGTGTTAGAAAATAAAATTGTTTTCATATTAAATAAACATTAAAACAAAACATTTGTGTGCATGTATGTATGTGTGCACATACATAAAAGTCCCTCACCATACAGCTTTGGCTTTCTGTGCAATTATTTTTTCATCCATCAGTGTTCTCCCATTTCTTTTTCCTTTTTTTAAAAAATAGCTGAAATCAGAAGCTATCCAATCTTCTCACTTTCAAAGCAAACTTAATGAAGTCATCCGAACCCTGACTCAGGTATGGCTTAACCTGTTGACATTGCTGTGAAATTCTTTTGGGGTAAAGTATGGGATTATCTAGGCAGTCCTTTAAGTCTTCAGGTGCTCTATTTCAAAAGTTGCTGTGACATTTTTTGTGACATGGTAAAGTGATTAAATATAATGGAATAATTTAATTACCAATGTAATTAATATGATTCAGACACATATTTTGTTCCTGAGCTTACCTTGCTTATTTTTTTCCTGGACCCATTTCTTTTTCTGAAAGAGTTGGCTTGGAAATGGTTAGTAATCATATCAGTCTTTTAACGAGGTTGGGAAATAGTCATTGAAGCTGCTATCCACTATCCATTGGATCTAACATGCCATAGTTCCATCTTCAGCTTTATCAGTAGTCTTTATTCCAGCCTGTCTCACTCCAATAATCATTAAGAAAAAGGACACCTTAATAGCAGCATGCATTTATGGTCATACTGATTAAAATTCCCTTTCCAATTTTGGAATAATTGGTTTCCTTGCTTTGTATTTTGTATTTCACACCTATTAAATATTCATAGAAGTGTACTTCCATTTGAACAGAATGACTTCCGAATATGGGTATAATCAGGCAACAATCCCCAAATAGTTTTATATAGTTGGTATTTTGCTGTTATTCTTCTTATTTTTGATTAAGGTTTCTTATTGAGGATAGAAATTAGCTTTGTTACGAGAAAATATCCATAGACAATTGAATGATCATTATTGGGGCATTCCTTCCTTCAACACATGCCTATTTTTTTCCTCAAAGAATAAAGCAACTTTTATTCTGTACAGAATATGGTCTACTCACCTAAATATTGAGTGTGCCTTTATCTTATGCAAACAACACATTAAACTAGTGGCATTCATTTTATAATTATGATAACCTACATAAAATGAATTATAATTTGGGTTCGTTTGTGACGATTCTCCTTGTAGGTAATCAGCTTTTCTGGGGTGATAGGCCTTCAGGTAAATGCTGCATGGATGTTAGGACATTTGTACCTTTCTAATGTGTCTGCAACCCGTAGTCGAACATCTGGTAAGTTGAAGCTTCTCATATGAGTTTGTAGATTCATAAAAATGTCAGTGGAAAGAGAGAATAATAATAAAGAGTTTTGTTAGGCTGGGACTTATTTTTGAGGCAATGAGGTCAACTTGAGTAGAGTGTCCTTTTTTCAGTTCATGGAGAGAGGGGGCACCTGTTGATAACGCTGATAGAGAATTTTTTTGTTTCTGGTTTTCTAGCTCTCACTGAATTTCCCACAGCCTGCTTTTTCCTGCTCTAAGTTGCCCTGGGATAAAGAGTTAATCATATTAGCTTTCATTTCATTAAATGTAAATGAAATGAAAGTTAGTTTTTGATATGGTCCTGTCTACTATTTCCAGCACACTACACAAATATTATGCGTGGACCTTAGTTTTGAATTATAGGCACCTTCCTATATTCTGCTATAAAATTGTCAAGTGTGAATGTGCAACTGGTTAACCTGACTTGCCTTTGTCTTTACAGTTCCTTCTGACTTTAGCTACCTCCCTGAGAAAAGTTTCCTTAGAGCAACCATTGATTTTATTATAGAAGGCGGAAAGAAAGGTAAATGAAAAATTCTTCTATGGGGAAAACATCTCCCAGTGAGGAAATGAAATAATTATTTCTCTTCTCTCCCACAAATGTAACATGATAACTGAAAGTATGGTCCTAACATTTTTTTTACTATAGAAATTATCAGCATTCTCTTTTACAATCGGAGAAGACTTACATTGTGATGTGAACTTCTACACATACTGAATGTCTGTAATATGGACACAGCCAAGAATATCCCTCCACTTTTTCCCAAAGAATCCCAATTTTTACCATTTACAAGAAGATATTCATAATAGAAAGTAAAGGGTCTGTGCCCACTTTCACAAATGCAGCTGCGTGTGCACGCTCGCTCCCCACCACTCCTGTGACCCGGTTCTGAACGGATGGCAGCCTAACAGTGGGCCGCGAAGCGGGTGTTGGGGACCCCTGGACTCTGGAATAAAGAGTGGCGAATGCTATTTGCTTGTGTCAGCTTTAACTTCTTTCATATCAAATTGGGATTCTTTGGGAGGAAATGGAGGGGTATCTGGACAGTGTTTGTATACTTATTTTGTATATCTGAAGAAAAGAGGGAAATGGACCTGAACCTTACCCTGATGAAGGGCTTTTATATCAGACATTACTATGGAGATAAAAATGATTGTATTTTGGAAACTCAGTAAAATACAGTTAAAACTCACAAAAAATAATCCAGTGGTTCTTTGTTTTTATCATTGTAAGACATATCAGTTATTCAAGGTATCTAATTGTTAAAGTAATAATTGGATGCTTTGTTTTAGGGCCTGAACAAGTCCATCCAAGCTTCTTAAAGGCAGCCATGGCACCCATTGCATTGATTGGAGGGAGCTATCAGTATCCCCCTTTGAACTGGGCATCAATTCTCGCTCCTCTGCTGCGGCTAGATTTTGGTATGCTTTTTTTTAAAGAATAAATGACTGAATCCTGTCTGTATTCCTCTGAGTAGATAAATAATTTAATCAGATCTCTTCTTTTAGTATAGAACAACGTTTTTTTTATTTATTCCTGTTTATCCATTATTAAGCATTCTTCATAGAAGGTGGAAAATTTTATACATTCGGTTTATGAATTTCCTTGTAACTTAATGGGCTCCATTACACCATTTGTTTGTGGCGACGTTTGGAAATTTAAATTTGCATCATAGATTTCAAGGGGCAGAGGAAATACAATTAGAGCAAAAGTGCAGCGTCCTCTCCTATATGACAGGACTTGGATACATGGTGGGGCAGAGAACTGATTATGGATTCCTTTATTTCTCGGTTCATGTAAATATCATTTTCATTGTACTGTTTGTTTGTTTAAATCTAAATTCAAGTCAAGTTCTTCTATTCTAACATATTTAAATTTTGTTTAAAGTCCTACTTGGCCTTAGTCGACTAATGCAAATTTTTCTATTTATCATGCTTCTGTAATTGGATTTTAATTTTATTACTCTTTTAGAATATTTTTTGTAACTCAATATCAAATCAAAATGTAATTGCAGTCTATTGAATTGGGTATCTGTTGGAATATAGCAAAAATAAATGGTAAATGTAAACAAATGAAATAAATATTTCATGTCTTTGAAATAAGTAAATAAGAGATAAAGTTCATTTCACTTGGTTTACATTTTTGCGCAGAACCAGGCACACACACCCTCCCCCACATAAAGAACAAATGTGGGTCAGTTGAATTGCTTTTTTTATTTAGTCTTTTCAACCAGGATCACCATTAGTGAGTGTATAGGTAGTCCTCAACTTATGATCACAATTGAGCCCAAAATTTCTGTTGTTAAGTGAGAAATTTATTGAGTTTATTGCCCCATTTTACAACCTTTCTTACCTTAGTTGTTAAGCGAATCACTGCAGTTGATTGAGTGAGTAACCCAGCTGTTCAGAGAATTGGGCTTCACCATTGACTTTGCTTGCCAGAAGGTCATAAAAGGTGATCAAATGACCTTGGGACATAGCAACAGTCGTAAATATGAACCAGTTGCCAACTGTCTGAATGTTGATCATGTGATCATGGGGATGCTACAAAATTTGTAACTGTGAAAAATGTTCAGAAGTCACTTTTTTCAGTGCCATTGTAACTTTGAATGGTCACTGAATGAACTGTTGTAAGACAAGGATTACCACTGTACTGCTTTTCAATGGTCCCTGAAACATTACTGGTATTCTATTATGTTTTCCAGGGCAATAACAACCGGTTCTCTGCCCTAATGATTAGTTAGGTGGGCGTGGCTAGGAGGTTCGTGTGAGTGGGTGGGAGTGACATTGAGTTAGCCACACCCACTCAAGTTTTGTGGTTCCCGGTGTTTTGTTTTCTGTGCAAAACAGGTCCAAATGGCTCTTTGTGTGTTTAAGGTGGCAGACCTCTGGTATAGGAAGTTGAGGCTGGTGATTTATTCCAATCCTTTTGTTATGTCGTCTTATGGCTTCAGTTCTCTCCATCCTTTTTTCTTTTAGGAGAAGAAATACAGCAGTTGTGTATTGAACTAGCTGTGACCCAGGCTCAATCATCTCAGAATGCGGCAATGATTTTAGGCATGTGGGTGGCACCACCTCTGGTCTACAGTCTAAGTGTATGTGTTGTTTCTCTAATTGTTCTATTTCCCAGTCATAGGGGTGGATGTGGAAAGTCAGTTCCTTTTACTGTATGGTTCCTCTCCATTCAATAGAAAGTGGGGGGGGGGGGGAGACTTATCTTAGTGTAATAGAGTTGTACTCTTTTTTTAAACTAACCTACTCTCTGAATGAAAAAAAAGACACATCCACAAATGTAATATTAAATCATATTGGTTTATGTATTCTTCAGATACATACATGTATTTTTCAAAGGTATTTGTTGAAAATAATAAAGTAAACAATCAACTATGATTTAATATTGTTATGCATATTAGATTCTTGTGAATCCCTAATGCTCTGAATTTGCTCATCAGATACAAGCCAAGAGATACCTTTTTGCTTCCTTACCTCTGTGGATGAAATATGTAGCCGAAGACAAACAGCAGATCTTCACTGAAGTGTTTATGGTGCAGCATTTCGAGACAAAGAAACAGTCAAAAAACCCAGACCTTTGCTGGAATATTTTGCAAGGACTCAGCCAAGCTATGAAATTGCCTAGCCCAACTCAGCACAGCTGGAGTTGTTTTTGCAAGGCTGCTGAGAAGATATTTGAGCTTTTGCCAGATGAGATTTGGGTAAGAAAAAGTAAACATTTGAAGTATTACAACTTTGCTGAAAAAGGTCTCATTTGGGAAGACAAAAGAGGTTGGCGAACTGGAAAGGCTAGATGAAAAAGAATGAGCTGTGACATATGCAGATATTTTACTGCGTACAATATTTTAATCAGAGCTTTCATAGATATTGCCTTACACAAGTGGGCTGTAGGATAATCTCTTGGACTTTTTAAAATGAGTGTGCATCTAATTTGAGAACAACTTAGATCAACATTAGAAATGTCTTTTTCTCTGATTGCTGTACTGTTGATCCTAAGAATCACATTTGATTCCATTGCTTCAAAAAGTATCTATTAACTCAATTAAGTTGGGGTTCCACTCAGAAGATATTCACTGAACTGAGTTCATGTTAGAAACTGAAGTACTGCGTGAATAAGAGTAATTGAAATGTTATTTTGCAAAAGGCCTAATATAGCAAATATGTAAAATGGATTTTGAAATGACCCATGCTATTATTTTTAGTTAATAGAGCGAAGTCATATTTAATTTTGCCCACCAATTTAGAATTAGGATTGCCGGACTTGTAAGGGACTCTAGTCTTAATGGACAACACTGAAGCCCTTTTCACATATTGATTTGCACACATGTGAGGAAAAGTGGGCAGTGGGGTGATTCATACTAATCCCAACTTCCTCATCTTCTCATGTGCGTGGGACTTAGTTCCTCTAAAATCATTCTAAAATGATTGCATTCTGTTGATCAAGAGTATGTTTATTTTTATATTTATTGCAAATTTGAACATTTACAATTAGGCATCTTTATTTTACCAAGACATACTTTTTTTAATATTACATTATTGAAGTCTAGGAAAATGTAAAGAAGGATGAAGTGACATGAAATGAGGAAAAAAAAACTTAGTAGACAATTATATGTATATATGCAAAATTGTAAAGAAGGCAAATGTAAGTTATCCAGTATTAAAAGAAGCAGAAATATAATCCTTTCATACATTAGATTCTTTACGTTTTCATAATTTGAGTGTATCTAGTTACAGAATAAAAAAATCCCAAAACAATTTTGATTTTTTAAAGAGCCTGGCTAGTTACCAGTAACATAACACAAAGTTATTGAACCAAAGAGTATTAATTTCCAGGCCACAAGCAGGTGTTTTTTTTAACTCTCTTGATCTTAAAAAAATGGAGGCATACATGACAGTGATTTAAGTCTGTACCTCCCTAACAGCTGTCATGGCAATGGGGCATATTTCTTCCTTACAACTACCCTGTTTATATTGCCTTTAATATCCTGCCTTACCTCTTTCTTCTGCTTTTGTCTAGTTTTCTTGCTTATTGAAGCATGGGCTACATTCAGGAAATCTCAGTACAGTCTTTTTTTTTTCAAGATGTTGTTGCTTACTTCATTAGTAGGAAGATGATGAATGATAGTTTATGTTCCAACAGACACAGATTCCAATATTAGTATGAGCAGTAATACTATTTTTATGTTTGCACTGATAGTATTTTAGTCATATGTGGAAATGAGCACCTCACTACTCTTTGGATGCTTCTGGATTGAAAGGATTAGCCAGCTATAAACTGTTGTCCAGAGGACATGAAAAGATCCTCCCCCCAAAATGTCTGTTGGTCATATATAGTATGCCTTAATTTAATTGTGATGCTTCTGAACATTTTAGTCTTACAAAACAACCTGGGAAATAAATTGATGGGGTATAAATTAGGATTGGTTTTTTTAATAATAGGCACATTCTGTACAATAGGCACATTCATATAATCCTGTGCACTAAGAATCACTAGTTTGATCAATTAATAAATAGAGATATACTGTGGGCATGTATGATACTGTATTTGTCACAATATTGTCCTTCCTTCATTTTCCAGTAATCTCAAGATAGTTTTGGTTTGTGTTTAAAGCATTATTGTTTCTGGTACAAGGTATTATTTATTCACATTGGTATCACTAATAACATTGAATATTTAAATTTTATTTACATTTTCATTTTATACAATCACTTATATACTGTGCATAAAAAAAGAAAAAAGGAATGACCAATCTTTCTTAACCTTATATTGATATAGCAACTCAAACAAACATCAGCTTGCGTTCTA